TTCTAACCTTAGCTAAATTCTTATGTTCCGACAATCTAACTACCCGCGACCTACTAGTTTGACCTATGTAGTTGACCTCACAGTCATTCCAGGGTATTTTGTAAATTATATTATTTTGTCTAATTGGATCAACCGACAGGATCCTTTTAACTACAGAGCTTGTCCCTGAGTGAGTTTGTAGGTTTGAACGCCACTCTAATTCCTGCTTCATTAGGAATCCTATGTAGGGTCTCAGATGTCCCCTCCTTATATGGTATAACAGTAGATGTCTTACATTCTCTCCTCTTTATGTTGTCATTACAAGTTTTACCATTATTGTCATTTTGCTTTCGGCCTTTTCTGATATTCCTAATGAATTTTATAGGATATTTAGTTATTTAACATCAACGCTTCTTCCATCTCTTTTATTTCATCATTTAGGTGTTTTCGTGTACTACTTACTGCTACTGCTCGGTATGTTAGACACTAATCTAAGCCTGCCTTAACAATTAACGGATCAGACCAATTAAAGTCTAAATATCTATTAGCAGAACGCGTTGGCTTTTAGTAAACGGAAGTGTACAGTTTACCTTCTTCTACTGTTCATTTTATTTTACAAGCTAACTGCTCGAGGAGTTCAAAAACAATTTATTATTACTGTTAACCCATCTCCCTTGGTTATCCTTATCTGATTGGATAACCAAACGTTGTGGTAATTATTCCTATTATTCTTAAACCCGTTTTGTCATTTTGCATATTGAAATTGGCCTTTATTTTTTATTATATACTGACAACAGACCGATAGCTGAACGCTGACCGCTTCACACTTATTTGGGAAGTACCATCAGCCAGTGCCAACAGGTTGATCTCTGAAGAAATCTCAGCGCGGATAGAGAGGGCTAGTTTCGTATATACCACTTTACGCAACATCTGGCGTAGACACGATATCCGACTATCGACCAGAGGGCGGGTGTACTGCGCATCAGTCCTCTCCGTCCTCCTTTATGGCTATGAGTGAGACATGGCCATTGAGAGTGGAAGACATGAAAAATTAGCTGTCTTCAATCATAGATGCCTGCGTTCTATCTCCTGTGTGAAGTAGTATGATAGGGTGAGCAATATGGGGGTTAGGCTTCGGTCGAGGGGTAGGTGCGTTGGGGGGGAAATCAATCGACGAGGTTGTGAAGTCACTTCGATTGAGATGGTTAGGACATGTGTAAAGAGCATACCTAGACAGTGACTTCCTCTACGAGCAATGTTAGCTGACATAGGGTCAGGCTGGAAAAGAGCTAGTGGTGGTCAAACGAAAACATGGCACCAGTCAATGAAATCCACAAAAGTTAGTTTAAGCTAGCCACATAGGAAGGTGTAGACTTCCTGACTGGTTGGGGTCCTTGTAACAGTAAAAACCAATGGTTGGAAACAATAGGTGATATGGCTCAAAATCGTTCTCAATGGCTGGCGCAGATGCATCCACTCCTTGTGACTTATGATTTCAAATGAAACTATATTGTTCTTTGATATTACTATTCTTTTTGCCTCATACCTCTGTTTACTGTCTCTATTATGCATTTCTTCTACTTTCTTCTCTTGCTTTGTGTGCTACATGAAGGGAGTGTGGCGAATTGAAATGCCGCACATCGGTGCAAAGTTCTATGTCAAAAACAGACAGACAGACTGATATAAATTGACTTGATAAGTAAATGTGTGTATGTGTGTGGGATCAGATTGTGTTCGAAATGTATATTGTGCAAAATACATCAAATATTCTTTCAGATAATTTCCGTCTTCTAATAACACCCATCCAATTATCTTTACCTAGCTATTTCAGACACACTAAAGTTTCACTACACTCCTCCTTTACAATTTTTGAGGCAAGCTGAACTAACCCTGCATGTTTGTTCAAATTTCTACATTAACAAACAGGTCAGTAAATTAATCAAAAAAACTAAATTATTTCAGTAAATTACCAAATATAGTAATCGGTGTAGCTATCTATTTTTAGTCTGCACAGATGAGGATATCAAAGATAATAGCAGAAAGGCAAAACTAACCTTTATTACTCTGGAATCAGTTTCGAAAGCTACTGTACACAATATAAGCAATAAGATCCAGATTTTCAGTTCTGTGCAATATATGAGTCAGAAACTTGACACACACACACACACGTCACATGCTTCTTCAGACTTTTATCAACAGCTGCCATCTTTGCTGGCTCCAAATTTGAAGATCGAATGGCCAGAAAGAATAAGCAACAACAACAACAGCAGTAGCAAGAAACTCTGAGAACAATCCAACCAAGAAATAACTTATTGCTCAACAAATATACCAGAGAAAATGGAGATGGTTTGGGTACACGCCAGTAAGGAAGGAAACTGTCGAATGACATTGCACACCGGGCCATAGCTCGATTGAAACCAGAATAGGGGACGACGAGTGGATGGTCCGAAGACGACATGAAGGAGATCGTGTGGCGAGGAGGATATGAGAGACTATTTTAGCAATCGTCGGGGGGGGGGCAGCTGAAGACGACCGCAGAGGATAGGACAAAGAGGAGATGTACTGTTGAAGTTGCATTTTCCACTCAAAACCCAAGGCAATAATAATGCAGTTAATATCTCTTCCTGAGACTTTTATTCTAAATGTGTTATCACTTCCAGACACATTAATTTTTGTAGTGCACCACACACCAGTCATACAAGATGATCAACTTTGAATGCAGCATTGAATGACCAATATTCGAAGCTAAGTGGAAAAAAGTGATTTTGCCACATACTATATCGTTTTTCTTCATTGATTGGGAAATACAAAAACTTCAATAATGAATATTATGTAACTAATGCACAAATTTTTTCAAAGTATTAGGTGTGAACTTGGTTTGGACATATATATATACATATATAAATTTCCTGGATGTTACTATGACTAGGAGAGATGATGGAACGATTCAACGATCTATTTTTCGTACACAGACATGAAGTGGACAATATCTTCACTTTACCAGTTTTGTTCCTACCCAGTATAAACGTTCCCTAGTGAAATGTTTGTTCTCAAGGGCCCGAAAAACATGCACGAGTGACACAGTGATGGATGAGTTTCGACATATACTTTCAGTTTTATTAGCTAATGGTTATCGAGAAAACCCACTTTATCACTTGTCACAGTAAAGAAAGACCACATCTCGAAAAGACAGCTTCTGTACCAAAGAAAGCTATCTTTACTAACCTACCATTCAAGGGCGACCAGATTATGCAGTTCAAAGACAGCTCAAAGATTTCGGTCAGCCATCAAGTGCACATTCTACGCCGCATCCCTTTTTTCTCACTTGCCGAACATTTTCAATCCCTGTACCTACGATTAAAGGACGAAATTCTGTGGACTCTACTTCAAACTGTATCTACAAGTTCACCTGCAGCTGCGGTGACACCTATATAGGTAGAACCAACAGAATGTTCCAATGTCGTCGAAAAGGAAATGTTCCAAAATGGCTACTAAATCATATAGAAAATCCCAATGCGATTAATCTGAATAGAAATCCAGCATAATCCATTGCAAAACAATTATTAATGTCAGGTCACAAAATAAATATTAATGACTGTTTCACAATTATTTCACATAACTCTAATTCAAAGTTATTGAAGGTGATGGAAGCACTTTTGGGGATTAATCACATACAGCCTAAACTGTGTGTACAAAAAACAATAGACTTCAACCTTCGCCTACCATGAACTGACTACTTGACCTATTTAAATATGATTGGTCATTAGTATGTACTTTTGTTTTATTTAACTGAGTAATTGTCATGAACTTTATTTTATTATTGTTAGTTGTAAAGCCGTTGTAAAGAAACTACGAAATGACGATATCATCTCGCGAAATTTGTCTTCTTAATGCCTTATTCAAATTTATCAAAGGCACTAATTGTTTTAATATGTATATACCTTGCAAATTTATCATTGATAAAGCGAGTAGATCACCATCTTGGTGTTCGAAGTCATAGGCGTTAGGGATAGATACATCTAGCTGACAAGATCTATAATTCATCAAGATGAAATACTTAACCAACATTTGAATAAACCGACCGACTGACTGACTGGTTTCAACATAGAACTTTGCACAGAAGTGCATCAGTTCGAATTGCCGTACTCCATGTAGCACTCATAGGATGAGAAGATAGTAAAAAGAGGTTCAAAAGAGAGATAAAATAAATAGAAATATGAGCGAGGGAAAGAGAAGAGTAATATGGAAGAACAATAAAGTTTTATCGGGTATGACAAATCACAGAGAATGAATGCGTCTGCGCCAGCCATCATCGAGAACGATTTTCAGCCATGACACCAATTGCCTTCAGCTTTCACTGGTTCTTACCATCGCGACGACCCCAACCAGACAGCCAGCCAGTCTACACATTCCTACTTGATTGGCTGGCTGGCTGTCACAGATTTCATTCACTGATGCAGCCATGTTTTGATTTGACCACCACTAACTCTTTTACAACCTGGTCCTATGTCAGCGGTTAACATTGCCTGTGGAGGAAGGCACTGTCTGGGCATGCTTAACACATGTCATAACCATCTCAATCGAAGTAACTTCACAACCTCGTCGATTGATCTTCCCTCCAACTCACTTACCACTCGACCGAAGCCTAACCTCAATATTGCTTACCTTATCATACCACTTCACTGGAGAGATAGAACGCAAGCACCTATGGACAAAGACAGCTAGCCAGGCTTTTCATGGCTTCCACTCTCAATGGCCAGGTGTCACTCACAGCCATAAAGGAGGATGGAGCGGACTACTGAGCAGTACACACACACACACTACACAGAAGTCACATACATGCATTTCAATAAAGCTCATTTTAGACTATTCATACAACGAGACTACATCACCATGGAAACCAAATGAATAAAACAAAATCATTCACTTATTGGATTAAAATTTCAACGTATATTAGTCAACTGATTATAGTATCACTGAGGAGGTACATATATATATGCAGGTACACTCTCTCAGGTGAAGAGCTCTCAAACAAAGCCGAAACACGCGAGAACATCTCTCTTCACTTTAGAAACAGAAACATCCAATCTTACAAACGATACATATATAAATATTACCTTGTCCGTATCCACCGGCTAATACCAGACATATATCGTGATGGTTGTTCAACAAATCGTGCATCAGCCAATAATACAGCACCCCAATCATTAGCATGTCGTATACACCTTCCCAGGGCTTGATTCAATGCTCTATACGCCTGTGCATCATACCATTCAGATCCACTGAGTACTTTCTGTTGTTGTTGTTGTATTGATGATACACTTGAAGTATTAGTATTATTACTATTATTATTATTGTCTAAATCAGAATTACTAGTATTCATTGAATCAAGTGATGCGTTAAGATTGTCACTTGACGTGGATTTACCATTCTCTGGATAAGCTAACCTAGCTGGAGTTGATTTATGCAATGTATCATTGAATTCACGTTTTTGTTGAACCTGAAGAAGAAAGAAAAATCAAGAAGGAAAATTGTAGGCACTATAACAAACAAACATCAAAAAATGGCTCTGAGTTCTGATTGAAACACAGGGTTCCAGAAACACATGCCTAAATCACTTTGTTCTCTGTATTCCCCCCCCCGCCCGCTCTAGTTGACTCCACGATCGCCCATCAACTTTCATCATCCCCTCTCTTCACACATTCTCCTCCATGTCACCCTTCAGAGCAAGTCAAACTCTCCCCTTTTTCAATTTGGCTTCCACTCATGGGTGTATAATCTGTGTGATCTTAATCAACAGTTACCTCGGTGTATAGGAAATCCATCTCTATTTCTTGCTACAACATATTTGTCGGGGCGATAGGTTCTCACTCTATTCTCCGCCACATTTTTTTCCCTTCACGTTCCCCAGTGGAACATAGGGCTTCAAGCTAGTGGCTTGAAGTTTCTGTAGCAGTGGTGATTATTTTTACAGGATGGGGTTGCTAGCCTCATGCCAAACCTTTCCTCTTCACCAGCATTATTTCTGGCTCAGCGAGGTAAAGGAGTGCGTCGGCCAGGGATCGAACCCCGGACCATATGCATGGTCGGCGAGCGTCCTAACCGCTGTGCCATCGACGCACTCTCCCCCACATTACTTGTTGCTAATCCTTTCTGACCGGCTATTCGATCTTCAGTATTGAGCCAGAGAAAGCACTTGTCGCTGAGAGTCTGCAGTAGGCTGTTGAAAATACCCTTGGTGACATGCACCAAGTCTTTGACTAATATAGAGAAGCGCTGACTAACCTAACATTAGTGCTGAAAATTTGAATGTTGTTCCTCTTGCTGAGTGCAGCGGGTTTCTACACTAATTTCACAGATAATCAAAGTCTTTATTGATGTAGTTGTGTTCTTTGAGCTGGATGGTTTGCTTGAGAAGCTTTCATTGCCTTACTGGACAACACGCAATGCTCATACTTCTATTGAAGTCAACTTTCAAATTTCTTCACGACTTTCTCAGTCACCTCTCCTGGTGATTGCTTGCGTATGTCTGCGTTCACACCCTCAAGTTCACTTGTTTGCGTATTCATTGTTTCCTTCACCTGAATTTTGACTTTTTGTACATGTGATTTTCTTTGTATAGATTGGTAAACTTTAGCTATCTCAATGCATCTGTCAACTGCTGATTCACTCAAATACCAGGCCTCTGAAAATTCGCTGACGTTCTTGATGTTTGTTTCCTCTGTCTAATATTCCAACCTTGTCCCAGTCGAATTGATATCCGTGCTTGTTTATATGCAACGATATGAGGGAGTGGATATCATCATGTCTTTTGACGGCTAATTTGTGTTCATAAATGCGAAAACGAAGATGGCGTCCACTCTGGCCAATTTCGAGTTTGTTTTTTTTTGCAGTCGTGGCAATTTACTTTGCAGATGAAGCTCACTTCAAATTAAAGTGTATGCGCTGAAGATGTTGCCTAGTAAGGCAAGTGAACCATCCAGCTCAGAGAATACATTAAATACATTAAAATCATTCACCTCAGCCACAAATCTTCTCCATTATATCTAAATGAAGATCTTTCTTGCTTCTCCAATCCTGGTGCCTGCCTGTCTGTCTGCCTTTGACATGGCAGTCTGCTTAAATCACTGAGCTACCTATATTTCCCATTCATCAAAACACATCGTGTTTACCCCACTTCATATTGTTTCAATGATGTAATCACCATAATAAGACACAAACCATACTCGCGCACAATTTCGAATAGGTTTCTAGCTATCGTGAGGAATTTTTCAAACAAAATGGAAGGGGAACATTGTGGAGAAGTACTGGAAGCAAGCAACAAATGGAACAATATTCCTTCAGATGATAAACATCTCTATTTTCCCTTTGTTTACTTGAAGTCCCATTTCCTCTGTCTCTGCTGCCGACTTTAATATAATAATAGAAATTGGTCACTGTGGTAGAGTATAATTCCACTGAGGGTAAAATTTATTTTGACGAATCACACAGTAGTGTACAGTAATGTTTACTGATGACCACGTTTCAAGCACAATTTATTACTGCTCATAATCATATCAAGTTACGCACACAACTTTTCAACTTCTTTTAAATAATTCCATTATTTTTCATCTTTTGATTTGATTGGTAGTAGCATTTTCCATATCTCTGGTGTTGGTGATGAGTCACTGCATCCTATTGCATGTGTAGAGTGTAGACTCGATAAACAAGGATTCAGTCAGTAATCAAGCTCTCTCTCCACCTACCTATATTACTTCTCAGAATTTTAACTCTCTCCCACCCTATTGTGTGGTTGTGTGTTAATGCATGCAGTGTGATTGCTAAGTTTCTTCCTGAATTACTTCTCTCCTCGGGGTCAGTCATTCTAAACTCAGCTAAATTCTTATGTTCTGACAATCTGACTACCACCCCCCCCCCAAGGTTCTTTTCAAAGGGGATGAAATTTTTCTCTTGAGAATATCGCAAGCTAAGTCCCCCCTGAAGTTCAGATTCATGTAAAGTATCTTTTTGAAACAAGTGATGTTTCGTTTCTTTGCACCTTTGATTTGATACTAATGCCGATGATATTCTTTGCAGCAACGTCAAGAGCAGTGTTCTCCAGTTGTCCATTGTTCTGCAGAAGCCTTATGGAAAAGATCTCGCATCTGACCACTTCTGCGCGCATATATCAGCTCACCTGTTGCTGTGATGTGAGATACACTGGTCGTTCGAAGCATATCCTGTCGAAAAAGGTTCAATAACATTATCCTGTATGGCTTCAAAAAGGTAATAGTGGTTGTATAGGGAGTGAGAGAGATAATCGAACATTGTCAACACTGGTCATTCCATCTCAACAAACGCCTCCTTCGAAGTAAAGAATAACCCAACAAAGGCAAAACGCTTTCGTCTCCTTTGTATTGCTTAAGCCTTAGCCAATCAGTTGGAAAAACCAGAATTATGCATACAAACGAAAGTTATCCAACCACTTCTACTCTCCCGGTAACAACCGTGTTGACTTCTGCTGACTTGATGTTTGTGTGCTTTTTGTTTTTGTTTTTTTTCTTGCTCCTCATAACATTTGTAATTTTTAGAACTCTTACATAATTCCATATTTTCCCCTATTTCTATGTGCATCCTAGTCACAATTCACTCATTGAACTATTCATCTTATTACGCAACCGCACTACGCTTATTCAACTTCTTTTATGTGTTGATAAGCATTATTAACTATGTTGTTTTGACAATGTAACACCATCACCCTCTAACCAATCTCCACCCCTCCCTCTCTAGTTACAATTTGATGATTTATCAAATTTTTGAAATGCCTGGACAGCAACAACCCTAACTAATTTTTATTCTTATCGGACAAACCTAATGTACACTCACACACACGCATACAAAAATAAGTATATATAAATGCGATTGCATAGCTAGCTAAGTGAATGAATTCGTCGCTGAAAAGAGACTCTTCGCTGAACTACGCGTTTTGTTTTTATTTAATATCAACAACATCTACAAAAAAAATAAATTGCACGAACTCTTGATAAACAACACTATAATGGTCAAAGTGGGTATCGTCTTAGACTCCAGACTTTAGAAGATAAACTAGCTGTCAAAAGACACGACATGTATTCTTTTATATCGATACATGTAGACAACTACAGACATCAATTTAACTAAGGATATGTGAAAATGTTAGACAGTAGAAACATCAAATATTATTGTTTCCTTTAATTCCTAGAGCTTCAGCCGTGCGTCTCCATTGCGTGCGGTTCTCTGCTAGAGTCTTCACCTGGCTCCATGTCTGCCCACACGTTTTCATCTCCTCTTCACATCAACTCCTCCAAGTCACCCACCCTCGCACTGACGACCAACTCGCCGCTTCCCTTTCGGTTTCCACTCGAGCAATTGCTTGTCTAGTGATGTCACTTGATGCATTGTTTCCTCAGAGTATGGCCAATCCATCTCCATTTCTTCCTGCCTATTTGTTTCACAATCGGTTCCTGCTGAGTTGGTTCGCTCATTGCCAGAAACCACTCAACATTGCTGATCTTTCCTGGCCATCTGATCTTGAGTATTGAGCGGAGACAACTGTTAATGAAGGTCTGTAGTTTGTTTGAGGTGCTCTTTATGACGCGCTGGTCAAGTCTCTGATCCGTATAGTAGCACTGACTTCACATTGGAGTAGAAAATCCGGATCTTATGTTTGATGCTGAGTGCTGTTAACCTCCACACAGACTTGAGAAACATCAAAAATGCCAGAGAATTCATAGAAGTGTAATACTGGGATGAATCAGCGGCCAACAGATACATTTATCAACTGAAAAGTCACGTGACAAAAAAGTCTTATTCCACATTACGAATACAAACAATATTGATGTCAAATTAACAACCAGTCACGACAAAAGTTGTCAAGAGATACAATTATATCATTGAACGGAGAATTCCAATAATCTTCAATTCATATTGAAGTTTGTGCTGAAGAAGTTGTCTAAAAGTAGGATGAAAGCTTCACTATGACTATACCAACCAGGTTAGATAACGTAAACACGTCAAAATCATTTACCCAAGTTACATATCTACCTTATTATAAAAGTTACGCACACTCATACACACACAAAAAACAAACCTGAGGATTTGTAAATGCTGGATACGGAATACCGATAGCGATCACAAGACGTGCAT